CCTCACTAAAACACCACACACACTGCTGCCGGTCACCTGAGCTGTGTCGAAAGTTAAGGTGCAATTCTTTTCTAAAGGTTTGTTGTGCTGTGGCTGAATCCATTTCTGAGTCCTTTCGTTCTCAGAATCGAACTATATTTAGTTCATGATTTAAAATGATGTCGATTCCATTTCCCGTAATACCTCCTATTACAGGATATGACCACATGTCCTTTATTCACATCCAATTTGTGTCAGATCTGTCTTAAATCCATTTGCACTTTCTGAAAACGTCCTCTTTTAGATGAGAAAATGTTAAGAGCAGCAGTCGAAGCCAAGACTCGCATTCTTACCACTTTGTTGCTTGGGAGTAACTGTGTTTTTCTTGTTGGTTTTTTCTCTCTCTCTCCGGCTTCCATTTCTCCTTAAAATGAACAGCAGAAGACCGTTACAGAATACCAAGAAAAGAAGCGGCGGGGGAAAAAAAAGAGAGAGAGAATGTTTTGTAATTCAAAACGGCACTTAGAGAGCCAGATTAAAACAAGAGAGGAGGCTCATAAGGCAGTTTTCATCTATCTCTCACAAAAATAAATAAATAAATGGTTACACATCAGGAGCCGGCAGCTGAAGTCATGTAGTAATTTTACAGCCATTACTTGTCCTGTCTTGTTTAAGAGGTTTATTTGTTTATATTGCAACAAGTAATGTTTTTAAATCATTCTAAATCTAGTGTATTATTAAGAGTAGTCATTTTTTAATAAATGTAAAAACAATTTCCTCAGTTTAAGAAAACTGGCACACAGTTGTAATTAAGTTATTTTAATGCTTATGATGATCTGTTCTCTGAATTATAATTACAACTCATAGGCCTATAGACAGAGTCTTGCACCAATTTAATAAATAAAAAAGTGATGGTCTTCTAGCTTGAGGAAAAGGGCATTCATAAAAATCTCTGCATGAAACATCACATTATTTTTGTTGTAGTTGTGTACATTGGACGGTTTGTGTTGCATGTATTTGAGTCTTTGTTTAGGTGGCACAACTTTTGTATTATTGATGACAACATCAGGGTGTAAAAAAATGAAATGATCCATAAGTTATGACAACATGTTTTTAACTCATCAAAACAAGTTTCAACTTTTAAGTACAAGATTCAACTCATTTTTTAAACCCGTTTCATGTAATTTAAGTTGAAATTACTTAGTTTAGTTAAAACATCCAAGTTGATTGTACTTAAATTTAAGGCAGCAACTTTTTTCTTTCTTTTTTTTTTACAGTGATTCATGGTCACTGTAACAAAAAGAATTGAATGGATCAAGTAGCCTGTACATTATTTTATAATTTAATGACACAGTTGTTCTAATTAAAATAGTTCATACCTGAGCACACCAAATGTGCAGTGACCCCTAATACAAATAACTACTGTTCATGTCCACTGCAGATGCACACACAGGTTTCTGCAGCGCTTCTGTGCTGCACTGAGAGCCTTTTTAACTGTAGTTTATTACAGCTGCTGTCTTGTCTTCTGCCAGGTATTAAAACAGCGTGGTACCGCCTACGCTGCATTGCGGTCACATTAAGAGGTCCTGTGGCGAGCAGGGCAGCGCTAGACTCTCGTTAACTTTAACCGGGATTTCAGTGATGCTGAACCCGCGCCGGTCTCACTCTTTCCCGCGCTGTGCGAGCGCAATTAACGGCGAGTCCGATTCGCTCCTAACTCGACCTGGAACGTATTATTCGATCGTTAAAGACGAAGTTTACTGTTGCTTCTAATTGTTCCGTGTGAAAAAGAGCCACTGGGGAAGATTTCTCACAGTGAGAAGTTCTGCTTTCAGTTCCGCCAGTCGTTCCTCGTCCACTCGCAGCAATAAACTCACATCGGGGATTTAATAGTTTCACAGAATTCGATTACAAGCTGATAAATGCACCTTTTGATGATCAAAACAGAGGCTGAGTTATTCTCGGTGGTTGAAAGCGCAGGCCTATATGTTCATTGTACACGTCTTCATCATAATTATGGCTGAAAGTTATTAATTAGGCTTATTCGACATTTAAAACCACAGAACAGTTAAAAAGGACACAATTATATTGGGGTGTAAACGATCATATTTTCGAAGAGATTCGAACCGTTTGTATGCGAGTCATTTTATGTTGTAATAAATGCAGATAATTGTGATATGAAATACCAAATATAATCTAGCCCATAGCCTTATGTGTTTTTTATAGCAAGATACAGTTTTATTTAATAGGCTGTTTGTTGAAAAGGATTTTTTTTGTTTGTTTTTTTTGGATATGGTCACGTTAATTCACAAATTTTCCCTTGAAGTTCAAATTTCACTGTATTAAATAATTTTCATGGCAAATTATTTTAAGTCATTGTTCTTATAAACATTTTGGTAAAATACATTGATACATAAAATACATAAATGTAGGCTATTGGGTTTATTCAGCTGATTAAATTGTAGCCTACTTCAAGAATAGTTATCAATAAATGCGCAACATTATGTTATTGCTATAGCATTATTTTGTATGATCAATATATATATATATTTAGCCTATATATATATATGTGTAGGGTATATTACACAATTAAAGTGAGACGTTAATGGATTTAAAATTCTGTTCATAATTATGATTATAAAAATCATAGCATATCTATTTTGCAATACGAATTGTTATTTTTAGTTTGTGTTTAATTCAAATAACTAATTCAATGGTAGCCTAAGTCTCAGGCCATTTGTTAAGCTTATTTGTTACAGTGTTCAGAAATGTTTTAAAATAGTAGGCTAATTATAGGCTATATTTAATAAACTAACGAAATCAATGTTGATCAATAACGAAGGAGAAAACATTAATAAATGAATAAATTTATTCGGAAATGCATGCATAGTGCTAAATTAATGCAAAATATTTTACTCTTTCACAAAGCAAAGCTTTTGTTTGATGATCCGCACAATCAGAGCAGTTGTAAGTTGAATAAAATATAATGAAATGCTAAATCGTTTTTATTTTGATCAATTAACAGTTTAATTTATTTTAAAGAATATCTGGTAAGTGGGTAAAAAGAGTTAAGAAATATCCATAAAGTATGGGGGACGCTTATTTAAATATTGTTTACGTATTATTATTATTATTATTATTTAGGATGTCATCATGAGTATCTGTTAAGCAAGATATTTGGCCAAACAACAGGAACAAAATTCTTCAACGTCTTATTTATTTGTCACTATTATTCATCAACATATAGTTTTTTTTTTCATTTAATTTCCCCATATCTTATTATACACAAATAAAAAAGTATAGATAAATAAATAAATACAAGACGCAATGCTTGACTGCCCCAGAAAATGAAGCACTATTATCCGTGTGTCGGTCATTAAATTATCTTTATTTAATTTGATCAAAAGGTTAATTAAAATAATCATTATATTAACAATAGCCTATACAATAATGTAAACAAAAACAAAACCTGCTGGATTTATTTTAATTTTAAGTGAAGATTTGTCAGAGTCAGACCTATTTTCTCTGTATCAGATCATTAGTATTTCTGGGAAATTATTTAGAAATCCACAGTAATATTTATTATTATTTTGTAAACTGATTTATGTGTTTTCCTTATAGAGATTTATTCGTACGCTGGAAACTGCGGTTTGTAAAAATGCTGCTCAACTGTTCAAGATGTTCTCAATTTCTATCAATGTTTATTGTTTATGTATTTTAATCACAATCTTATATGGCTCTGTGTATAGAGGCTATATCTCTCTCCAAGTCGAAAGAAATATAGGCTAATCATAGACTATCGGGGATAAACTTTGAAACCCTTTCTGAATGCATGCATGCAGTCGTATCTTATTTAAAATAAATATGTAATCTGATGCTACACCTTTTGGGCGGTTTTGTATTGGAAGGTTGTGATGATGCATTTTCTCGTATTATTGATGGGCCGTTGGGTCTTGTTTGTGGCGTTTCAGAAGTGACAGAATCTGAAGGATGGCACGAGACACCGGCTGAACGGGATCATCATCATCATCACTCCTCGTGGCACCGCCTATACACTTGTAAGGACTAAGAGCTTTTCTGATTCGACTGCCTTTACATTTAGTGACTTGACCATAGGCTACCCCGCAAAAATGAGTTGGAAGGTCATAAAGTATATAGGCGATGCTTTTCCGCCCAAATAAAAATGTACGTTTCAACAACGTTTGAAATAACGTTCCAAACTTCCAATAACCAAAAAGTCCTTAGAATTGAGTCATTATGCATTATTAAAAATGAAGGTTCCAAAAGTGTGTTTTTACAGAGATGCAATAGAAGAACCATTTCTGGTTCCCCACAGAACCTTTCAGTAATCCGTGCCTAAAATAAAAAAAATTCCCCTTATACTCTTAAAGGTATAGGTTTTTATTGGCATTGATGGATCCACGAAGAACATTTAACATCCATGGAACATTTCAATCCCACAAAATGTTCTTTACTATTAAAACATTCTTCACACTAAGAAAAACAAATTACTCTTTTAAGAACTGCTCACTGAACGGTTCTTTGAGGAACCCAAAATGGTCCTCCTATGACATCACTGCGAAAACCCGCTTTTGGAACATTTAGTTTTAGGAGTGTGTTAAGAACCTTTTCCACTATAAAGAACCTTTTGTAAATAGATAGATTCCATGGATGTTAAAGGTTCTTCATGGAGCCATTGATTCAAATTAAGAACCTTTAACAATAGCAAAAGCTGATCGATAACGGACGGTAGCCTATAGGCTGCTATGTTCAACGCAACCTATAGACTACTGTCATATTTACCAAGTTATTGTAGAATTACACACCATAAATAAACAGAGGTGTTTTGGTTAAAACATCTAAAATATCCTGACAGTTAGACAACTGCGCTAGGGGCGCCAAAAGACAATTTGGGTTGCGCAAGCCGAACCTCAGCCGATTGCGCCCAGAAAATTACAGACAGAAAGTGTTGATAAAATGTCGACCCCCCCTCTGAATAATCATCAGTGCTCCCACAAGCAAGATAGAACTCATGGAATTTCTATACTTCTTGCACTTTTTCTCGTGTTCTATTTGAGTTCTCTTTTTTTTACCCGTCTATCCCTGTGTGTACCGTCTGGCTTGGTGTTCAGTAATCCGCGCAGTCCATGATTTTCCCACAGCCCTGCTAATGCCCCAAAGCTGCAGCTGCCACACCGGCCGGCCGCGGAGCGCCACACGCTGCCAGTTGCTACATTGATCAATAATTCACCAGCTCGACGCCTCCCCAAACCCGCTACCCCGGTGCAGCTTCGGGTCGACTGAGGCGACAACTGACATTTACTCACGCGGAGGGGACGTTTACTCTCCCGTGCGTTTAAAAGCAGCGGTAAGCTTTAGCCAACAGGCGAGATCCCTTCGGTGCGTCTACGGATTAGACTGTCGCAATGTGCACGACTCGTGTTGGTGACTGACTGCGACGCCTCGCGCTTTCATCTGTCCGGGAACAGCGGGGGTCCCGTTATGGTGCGGACAGTCGGAGGCTCGAAAGGGGGAGATGCAGTCAAGACAAACAGGAACTGACTTCAGGACATAAAGCCGACGAAAAATCACTCACATTCACGCAGAACGTACGTCCCTCACGCGAGCTGTTCTGCGTTCACCGGCGCTCGCGGAGCATTTCGACCGAGCCCGTGAATCCTCCGGTCGGTGCTGACAGGGAGGCTCCGTCGCTCGGCCGATGACAGCTGGAGAAACATATTAAACACGGAACCGAGAACGAGCAGTGGCCGAGGACGTCGATAATTCCGCAAAAGTGCCAGAGAAAGCTTTTACTTTTACAGACGGAACAAACTCTGGGAAACAGCCCGACTTGTTGAGTTGTTTTTTCGCTTCCGGTATCACCGAAGAAACCGACGGGTGCACCCGCTCCCTCTCCTCTTTTTTTTGGACGCTGAAGGTTTTAAAGAAAAATGGGCTTTTGAGGAGAGCTGGCAATTTCCCCTGAACTACAATGGTACGTGCTATGAGAATCAATATCTTTCCCACTGTTTTCAGAAATCTTAGCCAACAGATTTCAAATGTCAAAGAGCTGTTTAGAAATGTAAAAAAAGAGCACAATTTAACAACTTGTCGCTCAAAGATAAATATACTTCTCTCTTTTATAGGCCTACATGCCTGTTAATAAATAGCAATTATAGTAATATTATGTAGCTTTTTGGAAAGTGCTGTAAAATACCAAAAACACTTTGTTTAGGCTATATTTGAGTTTTTTCTTCTTCATGTCAGCAGTTAAATAATAATAATTATTACTATTCCTGCAGATATAAAAACATATAAGGTCACTAGTCTATTAAAAAATGTTTAATCTGAATCAGTGTAACAGGTCATTTAATTTCTTGTATTGTCATGAGGTTTTTTAACTTTAGGTTCATTTTAGGGTGTACTTGAATGTTAATTTTTATTCAAAAAGGCATAATCTCTTCAAAAGCAACATCTAAACTGAAAGCAGACAACGTCTAAATCCACATGCTCAATATGGAAAAACTATCTGGCTTAATTAAAATCTGCTTTTATAGAGGATTTTATTTAATGGAGACATTGACCAACTAGCAAATATTATTTTTTATTAATTAATAAAAGTTTGCAAGACCGTCTTGCAGGAGAGCTTGTTCGAGATTCTCTTATTAGAGTATTTATTTTATATTAGAGGTTTATGTGGACCGGTGATGTGATGCTCAAGATAACCTTCTAGTTTAAACTGTCATCTTTTAAAAATAAAATAAAAATACAAGACATATCATCAGCCAGAAGAAAACTGCTGAGATGTACTATATCACTGTAATGTGATGAAAAATGATATTTTTTGAGGCAGGGCAGTTTGTCTTGAGAGATTTTCAGTCACAGCTTTTTTGCACCACAAAAAAATAGCAGCATTATTCACATTAAAAGATATACTGGCTCAGTTACATGATGTATATAATGAAACCATATGCAAGAGAAAACTTGTGATCGTTTCCCTTCATATCGACAGTGTTCGCAGAGACTTTCACAGGTGTGAGATAGAAACTCCAATGTGTTCAGACGAGCAAGTTCATTTCCAGTTATTTGTTAGTTTAGGATTCATACGCTCTAGTAATTGTGTCTGAATAAATATTTGCACAGCAAGCACATTAGGCTGTGTTTAGATAGTGAATTCTGTGCTTTAAGTCAGTCCTTAAATGTGAGATTGACAGGCCTTTGCAGGCTGAAGGGGCTGGATCTGAATACGAAACACCACATTTGCCTGCAGCGAGCATTTTTTCTTCATGACAAACCTTTTCAAAGCGATGAACATCCTCTTCAGCCAAGCACACCTGTGAAATCTACGCAATAAAATAAATGCAAAGCTGTGAATTCGTGAACGAGGTCAAGCACTCAAGTCAGATTAAAGCGTCTGGATGGCGCACACACTCAAATCGGCCATTTAAATGCATCTCGCAAACCTGCGTTTGCCGAACTTGGTTATGGAGACTCGGCTCAGGCTATGAATTCCAGAACCGTCTTTTCTAGATTGACTGGATGCCAGGGTTGCCATGGATGCGATGGCCTGCAGTGATTGGTGGACTGCTGCATGAACTTGTTTCTGGGTGTAAACTTCTCATGGGAGGACGTTTTTTGTGTTTGTGGCATCTGTGTTGGCACATAAGATGCCATAATGGAAAGCCACCTACACACACTTTTATTCAGCCCGTGATGAACATGTGCGAAAAGCACTGAAACACCACTGCACACCTGCACACACACAAATGTAACTCCTAGTGAATGCGTGCATGTATAGATGCACCTGGACCAGAGCGTTACGGAGAAGGCAAGCCGTGAAAGTGGAGATCAGAGGTGCCGGGTGCAAACGGGGTTTGGCGTGAGCCAGAAAACTCATGTCAAAACCCCAAACAGAGCTTTAATAATTAGCAGCCTCTCGTTCATTCCAGATTCTCTCCATCTCTTTCTCCTTCTGCTATTGCCTCTGAGATGCTGGTGTGAAAAATCACATTTTTCCAACAGTTCTCCCCGAGGTGCTACTGGCAGACACACAGAGAAAGGACGCTTCATCCTTTTATATAGCACTCGTTCTCTCGTTCCTCCTTCTTTCTACTCTTTTTTTTTCCCCTCTCTCTCCATCTCTCTTTGATGCAGTTGCCATAGAGGACAGGTTTATATGCGGTCTGATTTGGCTCGGTCCTGCCAGCTTGTAAATTATAATGATAAAAAACAATGGTGCTAATAGTAATTGCTGTGTCGTTTGGAGACAAACAAAAGACAAAGAAAAAGAGGTGAAAAAAGGAAAAATCAGTGGGACCTGTGTTGATTGTTCTCGGGCCAGCTGGTTTTTGAATGTGTGGAGGACAGCCAGGTGTGTGTGTGTGTGTGTGAGTGGGAATATTCTGCGTGAAGTTTTCAGATATATGAATGAATAACTGCATTACTGCAAGCGCTAGGGCTGGGCGGTACGATGTTAAAGCGATCAGTGAGCCGAGAGCTTATATATACCGATATATATAAGTGTGCGCACAGAAAGCTGCCTCTTTCAGAAGGCGTTTGCGAATTTGGTACGTGCTCAATGTTAAAAAGTGTTAAGCACAAAGAATAAGCAGTGAAAAAGAGCTCAATGCGATGTGGTCACGTCTCAGCATGCGATCATGAATTCAGTTCTCTTTCACTTCTTATTGCGCTTGAATGGTCAAATACACATGCAATTGTGTCAAAATGCCCATCTTGTGAAGTATTCATGTCAACACAGCTGGTTATGTCTCAGGTGAAGGTAAACAGTTGGGTATAAACCGGATGTGTATCTGTGTAATGGACCTGTGCGTTTGGTCTTAAAGTGACAGCGGCCTAATATTCCTGCTACTCTGTGCTCTGTGAATCAAACTAAAGAGAAAATAACTTCCTGCTTTTGACTGAATAACGTTTTCAGTGATGGGAATAACGGCGTTATAAATAAATATAAATATAAACCTGTCCTTATAAATAACGCCGTTACTAACGGCATTACTTTTTCCAGTGACGAGTAATCTAATTGATTACTCTTCTCATCTTAATAACGCCGTTCCCGTTACTGCCAAAAAATGCGGCGCCTATAACTGATAAAGCTGGGTTTTTTTTTTTCATCAGACCAACTAGATCTCTGAGCGAGAGGCAAATACTTTTTTTACTGTTCTTCCTTGGTTAGTGGGTAGAGCACGAGACAAGCGCAGAAATGCTGACGACTGAGGTAGAGTAAAATGTCATTGTAAGCCAATCAGAGGTAGAGTTGGGCGGGTGTTCGAAAGCACGCATAGTAGTAGGCATTCGGCACTTTTGACTTAGCTCACTGAAAAGAGCCGGCTCTTTTGGCTCACAAACGGCTCTTTAAATGACTTTGACTATAATATTTAAATTTTTATTACATAATTATTTAATTTCTATAGGCTAAATTTATAAAAATAGAGTCGGCTCTTCAGATATGCGAGCCAGCTCCCGACGTTCACCTAAAAGAGCCGGCTCTTAGAGTCGCCTCATTCGCGAATCGCGAACGACCCATCAAAAGCTCATTCGCGAACGAGTCGATCCATCATCACTAACGGCTAACGCTCATGAATTGCGAACGACCCATCATAACGCATAGTCGGACAGGACAGGACACACAATGAACAACACAAGCAAGCCAGTCAGTCAACGAGAGACAGGTATGGCGACGAGCTTAACAAGCTTAATTTAATTTTGCCCAGTTGTGGCCTGTTGAGGGGCAATAAATATCAAAAGTTCCAAAACATCTATTGTGTTATTTGCATTGATCCACTATATAAACATAATATCTACATGGCATTTGATTGGAGGCTAGTCCCACAGCAACATTTTTTTTTTTTAGATGTGTGTACAATGTTTCATGTTTCTGTTAATAATGTATTGTATTAAGTGTCCATTTCATTATAATATTCAGATTTATCATAAATAATTGAACATGCACATGTATTGTAAGTTCCGTTAAAGAGGGGTAGAGGTGGGGTCACATTTGAGCATTTAAAATTTAATTTTACTTGAAAGTAACGCAATAGTTACTTTCTAAAGTAACTAGTTACTTTTAAAATTTGTAACTGAGTAACTAATTTAGTTACTTTTTGGAAGTAGTAACTAGTAACTGTAACTAATTACTTTTTAAAAGTAACTTGCCCAACACTGAACGTTTTTAGCTTTAATAAGAATACATTTATATTTAATTCATACAGTGCAGACTATGCAATATTTTATTTTCTTACATTTGATTATTAGCTACATTTCTGTACTAATTCTAACTATATGTTAAGTAAAGCTACCTGAAAAACTTGATTTGTTTAATTTAACCTATATTTTTGTTATATTGTATTTGTCCTATTGTTTGTCATTTGCTTATTTTTAAACACAGAAATGAGATAAAATAAGTTAAAATAACTATATCGTGATATAAGAATTTTATCATATCACCCACCCCTAGAAAGAGATCATTTTTTTGAGCTCGAGGGGCTATTACTTTTGCTCGTATTTTGGGGATTTTCAAGTAACTTTAGCTACTTTAGGAAAGATGTGCTATTACTTTTTATAAGGATCCAGGAAGCCTTAAAGGGATACTCCACTTTTATTGGAAATAGGCTCATTTTACAACTCCCCCAGAGTTAAACTGTTGAGTTTTACCGTTTTTGAATCCATTCAGCCGATCTCCGGTTCTGGCGGTACCACTTTTAGCATAGCTTAGCATACTTTATTGAAGTGGACAAGACCATTAGCATTTCTAAAAAAAGAAATGACCAAAGAGTTTCGATATTTTTCCTATTTAAAACTTGACTCTTCTGTAGTTACATCGTGCACTAAGACCGACGGAAAATGTAAAGTTGCGATTTTCTAGGCTGATATGGCTAGGAACTATACTCTCATTCCTGCGTAATAATCAAGAAACTTCACTGCCGTACCATGAGTGCAGCAGGCGTAATGATATGATGCAGCGCCTGAAAATAGGCTACCTTCCGTCAACACAACGGAACTATTTTCAGGCGCTGCGTCATATCACTACGCCTGATATAGGTTTACAACATGAGATTGATTAAATGATGTCCAAATTTTAATATTTGTGTGAGCTATCCCTTTAAGCAACCACCAGACCAACCTATAGAAACTGCATAGCAGCGCATTAACCAATTTAGCATGGGCAATCACCACTCAAATTTCCTCTGAAAAACGTGAAAGTCTAGTTTAAAGGTAAAGTGTGTAATTTTTTTAATCTGTTTTTCAAACAACATTGGCTTAACCAATGACATGAGTTTGGGGGCGGGACTACCAGTTTGTTCGAACAATAGCCGACAAAGGGTTTGAAAGTAGTTTGAAACAGACATTTATTTTGCTCTTCAATTTGGCGCTGAAATTATGCACTTAGTTCTAAAACTCCAGACCACAAAAGTGTGTGTGTGAGAGAGAGAGAGAAACTTCAGATTTCTGGAATTTAACCACTTAAGCATTCCACTAAACCACAAACGTATTGCCATATGCCTCCAACCCATATACACCTCTCTCTCTCTCTCTCTCTCTCTCTCTCTCTCTCTCTCTTTCTCTCTCTCTCCCCCATATATGGAGGAAACCCCCTCATTTGATTCCGTTATTCCCACCAATTAAACATTTTAAACAAAGAGCTCTATTTATCGGTGAGAGCGAGGAAACTTGTCGTAATTAACACATTTACATACATCTCCATTGACTCCAATTAGGTCAGAGGCTCCCAGAGCCGCTTTGAAATGTCCCTCTTTTCTCTGTGCGCTTCGCCTCTAAAATGTTAATTAAGAAGAGGCTTGAGATTCTGGCTGAGGGCTGGCCATATGGACCCTGCATATGCTCCATATGCATACAGCCCATATATAATTAATAGATCGCTACAGAAAAATGGGAGCTTTTGGAGGCGAAGACGAGTCTGAAGGTTCCTTCTCTCAAAACGAGTATAATAGTGAAATTCAGAGAGTTCCTCCAGGTGCCAACATAGACTTCTGTTCTCCATCTGTGGACAAGACAAATGAACGGATGAGCTCAGCACCGCGAAATACGGCCGGGTTGAGTTTGTTCAGCTGGTTTGTGCGGCCTGGCCTCACCGACGGCTTTGATTTGCTGGTTTATCTTAAAGAGATGAAGATCGAGTCAATTAAATGAAGAGAAATTGAATGAGTAAGTGGAACGTTTTCCATTTTCTGCTTCAGTTCAGAGCGAGGGGAGCCTTTGGAAAGAGCATATGGTGAAATCTGGTTAGATGATTTCCTGGAACATGAGAGTAATCAATACCCTGAAACTAAACAAAAGTAAACACTGAAGTCAATCAATACCTAAAATCCGCATAAAGAAATCCAACCATCATTCAGAGTTTATATCAGCCATTTTGACATTTGTGGAAGTGTTTTTAAACCTTTGGGCCTTTGGTTAATGTTCTTTGAGCGACAGTCAGGTTTTTTAAGAAGAGCTGGAGAACAAAACATCAGTGGAAAAACTCACCTGCCATTCACTACCCCATAAAATGCTTCTTCCCACAACTTTCACTCTTCGCCTCTTCTGTTTTCAACACATTTCTCAGAGCAGCGAGAGCCGTGAACTTGCCTCTGAGTAACGTGCCCTTTTTAATCGTTCTTTTTAATTATGAAAATGCATGTTTATGTTCTAATAAAGCCAATCAGGAATTGTTCCCTGCTTGAATGAGATTTTAGCGCGCTGTAGCTAAGACCCTATAAAAGTGAGGGAAATTTGGGAAAGCTAACGTTTCATTGGGTGGATATGAATAGGCTTTGTTATTCACCACTGCCCGAGTCTAGTGCCAATGCCTGGGACTTATTATGAGCGAACTGTGTGTGCGTATGTGCTGGAATAGATGTTGATATGTATTTATGCACACAAACGTGCATTTGTGGTTAAAGTTTATTGTTCATATTTGAACATTATTAGTGTGGATAGTTGTTGAATGAGGTCCTGGTTGGCTCACTGGAAACCTGCTGTGGTTTGTGAAATTTTAAGTTTTAGTCTTTCAAATGGTACTTTTCCCTTTCTTTTTCATGGAGGTGAGGTCTGCACCACTGCACCACTAAAATATTTTTTTTTAATATATATATTTTTTTATTTCCGTCCATATATATCCATGTTTTCAATTCAAAAGTTCATTCACAAAATGCTCCATTTGCCATCATTTACACAGATGAACATATGCTCCTATTGATAATTATATAAGTGACTAAAGAGCAAGCACATATGTATTAATTTTTTTAAATATTGAAATAATAACCACTGTCTTAATGCATCAAAATACATTGCATTGTATGAAATGCATAATAATAATCATATGCAGTCACCATCAACAATGTCAGCACCAACTTGACAAGCTTTTGGAAGTTGGGCCGAAATCCATTAGGATAGCGAGTGCCTTCAGAAATCAAATCAGTGCAGGCTAGTTTTGAGGTTTGCATATTAATATGGATATTACTGTATTTTAAAATGTTTGTGCTACAATGCTACCATTTATTACTAAATGTTTATGCTCTTATTTATAATGTTTAGAGATTTCAGATGATGTTTTCTCAACCCATATCACTGTGAAAATGATTTTTTCAGTCGCAAATAAAACAAAGATCATTATAGAGAACGTTTTACAATAAAATACTGTCTTTCAGTTTTAGTTCATTGTGTTACGAATTTTATCATCCATTTCCGTGCGAGTAAATCTTACACCATTGTTTTTCAGTGTACATACAGAAAAGTACGGAGCCCCTAAAGGGACATGGTGATATTGGGAAAAAAAATGCTTTTGCGTTTTCCCTCTCAAAATTTTGCGTTCGCTCTCACAACTTTTGAGTTATTTGCGAGGGAACGCAAAGTTTCTCTGGGGAACACAAACATTTTGCGACAGAACACAAAAGCATTGACTTCATATTTTTTTTCCACTACCATGTCCGTTTAGGGGCTCCGTAGTAAAGGATGAAGTTGCCTAGCTGCTGATAGAGTCAGATGGATCAATCGGAGTTCCCTATTGATATCTATATTCCGAAAATATGCACATCATTCCTCTGATCAGGAAGGCTAAGCTCCACCTATATGTTAATTGTGCTGCTGTCTGTTTGACGTACAAACATGAGAAACTGGTTTATTCAAGAGTTGAACACAAATGGAACATGGAGAAGCAATAAGAGTTATAGACCATGTGATTGATCGAGGTATATTCCAGTAAAGTTTCATGTTTCAGGCTTTGCGATGCTGCTCTTTGTCAGATTTATCTGTAAGAAGACTAAATTTGCTCTATATGTTTTGTGTTGTATTACAGGCCACAGAATCGTATCTGGTGCATGAAGGTCCCCATCGAGCCCCGGGCATCTCAGAGTGTTTCCTAGTGCCTGAATCCTACAGGGTACAAGCAATTTTCCTCTTTCTGTCCTTGTTATTGTTGTTCATTTCCTTTTCTTATTTCTATAAAACGACTGTAACCGGATGAATTGAACTTTGATTTCTTTCTCATGGCTGATGTAATTAATCTGCTTTCAGGCCAGACTGAGTTGGACTTCAGATTGTGATAAGATGAGTTGGAATCAGTAAAGCAAACTTTGATAGAGCAGAGATATTATCGATACGCTCTTGAAAATAAAGGTTCTTGGCATCGATGGTTCCATTAAGAACCTTCGACATCCATGGAATCTTTCCATTCCACAAAAAGTTCTTAATAGTGGAAAAAGTGTTATTTGGAATATTTTCAATATGTTTTTCACACTTCTTCTTTTAAGCACTATGTAGGTTCTTTGGGAACCATGGTTCTTCCATTTGATCTATCCTCTGTTTCCTTTTGGAACTTTTATTTTTAAGAGTGTAATGCATTAGATTTCATAGTTTCATAGCCCGTGAACCATCTTTCAAGAGAACAGTGTGTACGTATGCATCATAAATCTCATCGGCCGTTTATGATCTCGTGTGCTGCGTTTATATGGTAAGATGGTGGTTGGCGTTGAGAGGAATGCCGAGTTTATGTGGAGAAGCAGCTGCAGGAATTATCTACATAAAATACCATCAGGATTATTTAATTGCCAGCCATGAGGGAAGGGTAAAAAGCAAAGTGTGTGTGTTTGTGTTGGGCTAAAACCACACACACCGACTATATCGCTTGCATATGGTTCTCTTATGTGAGTTTTAATGGAAGTTTTAGCTGCTGCAACCGCAACCCGACCGTGGATCTGCTTAACAAAGAACTGGGTGTGTGCGTGTGTGTGCATGTATGTGTTTGCTTGTGTGTGAAAGTATGCATGCGCTGAAAGCAGAATTGTTTTCATGCTAGTTCGTAGAGTAATGGCTGCAAGATCTGTGTGAAGCATGAAGACTCTGGTTTTGGATTTGTGCCTTTCGATGTTGTAATGCCAACATGTGCCCTTTCTCTGACCTCGCTCTTAACTCTCAATGTCAGTGTTTTTCTTGTTGTTATATTGGCTGTTTTGCAGATGGATTTTATCCTATTAAAAACATACTGTGTAGGATTTTGGAAAATCATATAGGTTTATGGGTTGCCTCTAACTGTATTTAGACCTAACCTTATTTATAGCTGTTCTTTGCCATTAGGGCAAGGTGAATGAACAGCATCTATAAAAACAAAACTGTTTATGTGCTCATTGCATCTCAAGCTGGTCTGACATTATCACTAAAAACGGAATTAAGTACTAAAAACGGAAACATTTTTCGTGTACAGACGACAACCTTGTGAAAACAATACTCATTCACACGAATCCGCGAAAACGGATTAAAAACGCTGTATTATTCATGCCAGGCCAGTAGATGGCGATGTCACTTTGTAAAGAAACACTGCACGTCTATAGACTGAACACTTAAAGGTGAACTAAGTAACTTTTTGTACCTTAACCGAACAGCTTTGGAGTCATTGTAATGTTTATATGACTGATTTCGTGTTGAATGGTGGTCGTCTCGCACCCCCCTGGTGCCTGTGAGCCGCAAAACCACCCTTGCAATTTTGGGCCGCCGAACCGCCGGCCTGAGTGTTAGGAAGTATTGTGTGATATCAGGTCTCGCGAGGTAACGAATTGCTTTACGGCAAAAAAACAGATCTGATAAAATTCTGATAAAATGAGCATCAAACAGAAATAACCCGGCGCCGTATACATGTGGTGTTAGGCGCGCGCAGCTCTTAAAGGGGCCATACCTTATTTCCACTCGTTACAGCGTCCATCCTACTGAACAGGTACCGGTGTACAGGGGGAGGGGATCCGGCCGTGAGTGCGAGCCATCTCTGCGTGAGTGCTATTCACGACAGTACAAGTACTCCACAGCGACTCTAGGGGTCGCTGTTTGACAAAAACGGAATTCTTACTGAGTGCTGCTTTAATACACATGCGCAAAACTTCACCATTTTCACATATTCGTGTTTTTGTAGTTTACACAGAAATTATAACGGTATCGTTTTTAAAAAGTTGCACTTTGAAACCAGTTTCCAAATGTTGCGTTTTCAGGCCCCCAAAACGCAGTTGACATGTAAATAAACGCCAAAAATACATGAAAAGTTTTCCTTTTTCATTTGAAAACGGTGTCGTGTAAACGGCCCCTATTAAAATTCTGAATGGATTAGGGATTAAAAAATTACAAATATTTCTATTCTTTGTGTCAAAAAAATAAATAAATCAACAGATTGGTCAAATCCGTTTTCTGAACGTGTAGTTGTAATTTCTAAAACCATTGGTTACCTTTGTCTGTTTCCCCAGATGTTGATGAAGCTTTATGCTGGATTAAGCTTGTAGTCCTGGATTAAATTGTGCAGTAATTGGTAAAACTCCTTTGTGGTGTTGGCTTAAGCAGTCTGAGAAAGCAGTCCTAATAAAAGAGCAAGCTAATCTGCCTCTTAAAAGTTTGACAGCAGAGTTTCACGGCTGGAGAAGGTGCAAGATAAGCATAGTTGAGCGTGCTGCTAGGCAGCCTGGGCGCTGTGGTTTGCCACAAAACAGATGTGGATTTAGGAGACCACCCTGCAATACTGTGATGCAGGACTGGGGCCTATAGATGAGTCATAGAGGAAGAGAGCGGGGAAAGAGGGGTTACTTACCTTCCATTACCTGATTAAAGATTGCAGGAGTATTGCATGGGGGAAAACGTATTGCAAATGTTTAAAAGACCATTGACACAAATATTGCAGCCAGTCAGTCCTGCTGACATTGATCAAGGTTTGCATATTTACTTGGAATTGCCAAGGCTTTGATTATTTTTTAGGTTCCTATTTCCTAAGGTTTATGTTATGTTTAATGAGTCATTGACACATTTTCAATGACCAATATTTTAAAGAGCAGGGTGACCGATATATACCTAATGCACTTTTATTTGACAACAAAAGCTCAAACAATATTGCTCACCATATTTACTGAAAATTCACTATAAGAAAAAAAAGAACTTTTTTCTTCTTCTTTTTTTACAATTGATCATTGACGGGATTTCGGAGATGAAATAAGTGGAAATTACCACTCAAAACTGACCTGGAAACATTGATCTATAATAGATTATAACATAGCTACCAATAGTTGCCTAAATGATAGTGTTGAACTGCTGTTATGGCAATTCGTGTATGTATTTACCAAACTTGTGTAGGCTAGTTCATCTTTCCAATCGCTAATGAATAGCAGGCTGTCTTCTGCAAGGTTGTAGAGAATCAGAGAGCGAAGGGGGAGAGCAAGAAGGAGAGAAGTTTTTTTTTTCTTCCTAAAGTTTGAGCTTTCACTTTCTGCTTCGAGGCGGGGTTAGCGGCGCGAGCAGCATGGAGTAGGCGAAGGGGGACGGCGAGCTATTGCAATGCAGCAACGCGGCGAACTTCCACTCAACTTCAAAACGAGATTCATTTCCCGCCTCTGAGATAACTATGTACTCTCCGTACTGCTTGACACAGGTAAAATGCATTCATTTAATTAATCGCTCGTGTGTGTGTTCGGATTCTGCACTGCAGAACCGTTGCCGTGTCTTGTCTTGCCTGTCGCTGCTCAATAAATGCATTACAAGTTATGCATTGCGCTTTTTAAAACATTATTTTCACGCGCGCGTTTATTTCCAGCTCTCAGCTCGCGCGCGGTGTTGTTTCGGAATCGGAACTCTTCTCGTGCGTTTCATTGCACATGGGATCGAAGAGAAAATGGCGCTTCTCCCAAATCTATTTTATATAAAAGGAGATTGGTTTGACCCGAGAGGAAGCGCGACTGGTATTGTAAACAGCTCGAATTTTAGATGCCAAACTATAAAACGTTATGGTAATATTTCTTTAAGCTGTTTTCCCAAGCTGTGATGTTTCTGGAGTTTCAGGACTACAGCTCCCGTGCATGAACTTCTCCGCGCCCGAGTTCAGAGACACGACGTGACATTGATCTACCTGTCCGGAGTGAGAAATACTTCCAAAATCTGTAAAATAGGCCTATGCTTTTCAGGGTCGCGTTTTATTACCCTGTAATTGTTTACCTATTTTTATTTAGACGGAAGAGAATATAAAGTGTTAAAACGCGTTTACTTCTGACTTTTCCCAATGCAAAATGTTTTGTTGACTTTATGCAATAGGCTATTATATGCATAGCCTACATCTATATAAAATAACTTATGAAATGCTATTTAAGTATGTTTTGTAGTTCAACATATTGATTAATAATTTATGAAAAAAAGATTGATTAGTTTATGAAGCGAGCATATGCACACTGGCCTAGTCTATTTTTATACAGTAAAATCTTGTTGTTTGTAAAAAAAACAACAACAAAGCATTAACATATAGTGATAAACGTATACTTTTATGATTATGCAGTTAAATTATTCCCTTTAAAAAGTTCCATGACTGTAGACTATTATAGGCTAAGATTCAATCGGAGCAATTCCTGCCAACCTGACGGCTGACTTAATTTACCATTCACCATCTTTGAAAAAAAGAAAAGAAAAAAAGATTATCTTTCTCTACCGTCTATATAGTATTACCCAATAATTGGCAAAGTGTCAAACTTTTGCAGTTACAAAATATTGCATTAAACTGTCTTATAGGTCAACAAAAACTTTGCTTTGTTTTATTCTTTGTCTAAAGCTGGCTGTATCATATTTATCTGTTGGCCACAGAAAAATATATAATGCTTACAAATATTTAGCAGTGTTTAATATGCAAATAGGCCTGTATTTGAATACAAATGTCCGTTTTTGAATCCCTGACGGCCTACACTTGAAGCCTTTTTGCTCAAGGTATCGGCATAGGCCTGTTATTATTATTTTTTCAAGAAGCATTTGTGTTCTTCAAAGGTGTGTGTATTTTAATAAATAATTCAAAAGTAAATTGAAAATGTACTTGGAGTGTTGTTGTGCCATATATGCGCGCAGGGGCTTGTGCTTCACGCGATCTGCGGCGGCTGGAAT